TCCCTTTGTGTCTGTGAGTATGTGGACACACACAGCTTACTAGCGCACACAAGAGTGGCTCCATAGGACCCTGCAAGGGAAAAGAGCCACCCTAAAACAGGAAGCCAGGACCAAGGCTCAGGGGACCAGCTGATTCGGCAGGAGACTAAAACTTTTAAACATCAAAAAGCAGCATCCATTGTAAGTGATTTCATCAGCATTTGGAATAGCTTAAAAAACTTTTGACTTTAATATCACTTTTAAGTGGAACTCCAGCATTTGTTTTCTAGGTCTGGTTAGAACAGGAAATGTTTAAGTATATGTTTATGTATCTGTTTGGGAGATTTTGACTCCCTTTTTGCCCCAGAGTCACAATGGGAATAGACAAATCTCCCCAGTGAGATGGAAAATCTCATCTTTATGAGCTGTAAAGCGAACAAGTGTCTCCTAACTTTTTTTTATTATCTTCCGTCCTTGAAACAAAACCAGTAGGGCAGAAACTGAGACACAAATAGTAATAAAAACTTGAAAGCGATTGTATCTCTTCTCCACTATATTCAATCCTAGACAAACATATCTCGGCTGGAGTTTGACTTTAACAGGCATCTGTAGACAGGTGTAGGCAGGTAAACCTGCTTCATACATCAAAATGCGCTGATATGTAAATTTTGCCTGGAAAGTCATGAGCTAGCCTGCCCCTACCTTGTGTAAACTCCTGCTTGTCCTTTGTTTCACGTGAAGTGTGACATCAGTGCCCATTAGGAGCAGGGAACTTCTTTTTAAAAAAAACTTTTTGCAGACCTTTATTCTAACGTCAACCCCTTCCCTTCAACCGTCGGGTAGGCAAACTCTGGCCATCCAGCTGTGGTGCAACCACAAATTTCATTAGACATTGCAAGACCTTTTAAACGTGTGACTTAACATGTTTTTCTGTGTATTACAGGCTCTTTTACCACTTGCAAATGTGGCGTTAATAGATTATACACTGGAATTTCTTACTGCCACTGGCGTTAAAGAAACATTTGTTTTTTGCTGCTGGATGGCAAATGAGATTAAAGAACATTTAAGGTAAGACTCAACATCCTGCTGGAGGTGTAAAAGGTAGAACTGACATTGTCTAGACTCTAGAGAACCTCTTGTAAATTAGGCTCTGTACTTCATATCATATTCATATAATGCTGAACGTAGCAGACGGCAGTACAACCAAGGTTTAGTAACCGGAATGGATATTTACAGGGCTTGAAAAATCCGCTCATCCTCTCGTCTGTAACGAGAGGACGCCGGAGCCGGACGAGTAGCTTCCCAGGCCGGCCATTGTAATTAAATGGCCGGCCAAGAGCTTTACATTCAAGCAATCAAGCGTCTCTAGAGACACCGATCGCTTGTATTAGCAGCAGCTGTCACTGCCACTGTCACCTGTTACATATTACCGCGAATGTCGGAGCGAGAGCAATAATTTTAGGGCCATTAATCACTGATGAAACTAAACTGATGAGCCCTGCCCTATAGATTTAGAATTTCGCTCCCAAATGAGAGCACTCATTGGTCAGCGCAGTCCAATGAAGAATGCTACTTGCTAAGAAGCGCTTCTCGTTGGGGGAGAAATGGGGCCAGATTTGAGCTGGTAATTCCATTTTCCCAAATTCACCTTCCAGTACAATGCCTTTAGGCAATGACACACCCCTGACATGTCCCCAGTTATGCGGACTATTAAGAATTGATATGCCAAAAAGGATTAGTTAAACCTAAGCCTTATGAAACAAGATAAAGGTTTTAGTACCTTTTCATAAATGTCTGCACATCAGACCAAAAGAAGGCACAACTGAGGAGCAAAGAGGGACAGAGGAATTTGGTTCCAAATGAGCGACAGCTGGGAGGTATGGAATCCATGTATATAACTGACCTACTCCTTACCCTAAACAAACACCCGTGTGGGTCTATTTATAAATGTTTTCCCATAGGATTCACATTTTAAAGTGTGAATCCTGGGTGAAAGTTGGATAACTTTTGTGGCAACAAAATTCTAAATAGACCCCTTTAGATTCACACACTTGATAATTGAAGTTATGGTTAGGACTTATTATAACGGATAAAGCTGTATGTACACATTTGTGCACACCTAAGTATGTTAATTTTTACATCGTTATGTTAATATTTAAGGTACTTGAATGCATTTTTAAGATTTTAACTTCTGAGTTTAGTGTTACTACAATGCACAAATTATATGATGTCACAGCCAAATGTGGTCTGCAGCTCTTAAGCAGGAGGTTTGCTTTGAACTACCAGTTTTGTCTGATCATTTGCTTCTCTGAAAGTTCATTTTAAACAGGAAGTTAATCGATCAACAAACATGCAATTATATCATGCTCTTGTTACCGCTTTAGCATTGTTATTGACAAAGGTTTTTTTTTATTAGGTATTTATTTTGGTTACTTCCTTCCTTCTGAAAGCTTTAATGAAAATACACCATATTAAATATCAACAAAGAAAATGTAATCACTCTAAATGTCAGTAGTGTAATTTTGTAAGTAATTCCTGTCAGCGAAGTGCACATTAGCATAATGTAGGAGAAAGATAAACCCACAGTTTTGTGTATACAAGGCAAAGCACAAGCTTTTCTATAATGGAAAGGTAAGTCAATAGCTACAGATGCCAAATGTGTATGTCATTTTGTTTAAAAAAAAAAACCTAGGTGTGGGGTAAAAGGAAAACTCTGAAAAAAATACACTTTTATAAATAAATTCCAAGTAAATGGAAATATAAGTACAGCTGTTATCCAACAATGTATGTATTCCTTGGCAGGAACTCCAAATGGTGTCGACCTACCCACTCCAATGTGGTGCATGTAGTGACCTCTGAACTTTACCGCTCACTTGGAGATGTCCTCAGAGACGTGGACGCGAAGTCTTTAGTCCGATCAGACTTTCTGTTGGTCACTGGGGATGTGGTATCTAATATAAATATTGAAGCAGCTTTGGAGGAGCACAGGTAGGATATTCTAAATGACATGCAGCTAATTGAATTAGGCATTTTTCATCGTCTTGCTCAACAAATATCCTTTTTGTTTCCCTTAGGACTCGTCGGAAATTGGAGAAAAATGTTTCAGTAATGACCATGATCCTCAAAGAGTCCTCCCCGGGTCACCGCACAAGGTGTCAGGAGGATGATGTTATCATTGCTATGGATAGCAAGACGAAACGAGTTCTACATTACCAAAAAAGCCAGGAGTTGAAGCGATACCACTTTCCAAAAGTAAATTAACTTTAGGGTACTGCTAACTGCAAGGCTTACTTTTGAATTGCTTTCATTTGTCCTGAGTGGCAAAGCTAAGTTTGTAAAACTTCCTTTATTAATATAATTTGTTTACAGGTAACAGCCCACATTTGTAGATGAACAGAAAATGTTACTACAATGTTGCTACTAGGGATGCACCGATACCGATATGTGCGACTACACATACTTGCCCAAATGCTCCGATGCCTAGCCCGATACTTACGGTATCAGGAAGCCCGGCAGCGCATCATTACACGCTGCCTGGCAGCGCGTCATTACACGCTGCCCGGCTTCCTGATTGGCCGGGGAGCCGCCACCATGCTCTCTCGTCACTTGTGGCGAGAGAGCATGGAGCTGGCTTCCTGATTGCCCAGCTTCCGACCTATCAGGAAGCCAGGCGCTGTATAGTGACGCGGTGCCCGGCTTCCTGATTGGTCGGGAAGCCAGCTTCATGCTCCACCGTCACCTCATGACGAAGGAGCATGGAGCCGGATTACCGGCCAATCAGGAAGCAGGGCGCCGCGTCATTACACAGCGCCCGGCTTTCTGATTGGCCTGCATTCTCGTCACCTAGTGACGAGAAGCATGGGGGCGGCTTCCCTGCTATTCGGGAACTCGGGTTGCGAGTCTCCCCGGGTTACTCGATACCGGTGTCGGTGCATCCCTAGTTGCTACATTTATATATGCAGCCTTGTGTGGCTACAGACAGATTGGTAGGTTACAAGGCATTGTGTAATTTGACTGAAGTATATGATTGGGTATTCACTTGAAAAAAACTTTGAGATTTGATTTTGCATTGTCTTTGTATTTCTAACTCACAAGTTTCTTTTATTAGGGTTTTTAGGTAAAACAACAAAACAAAATAAACATAGCATCTTGAAGGATAATCATGTCTTTGTATTTCTAGAGTATCTTCCAGAGCAAAGCAGATGAAATAGAGCTGCGCCATGATTTGTTAGACTGTCATATTAGCATTTGTTCCCCTCAGGTATGTGTTGTCTTTTTTCCACGATTGGTCATCTATAGTAATATTTTTGCATGTGACTTCCTTTTCTTAAAAAATGTTTATACCCTTCAATCTTGTAGGTAGCAGAGCTGTTTACAGATAACTTTGACTACCAAACAAGGGATGACTTCGTTCGCGGCATCCTTATTAATGAAGAGGTAAGGTATTTGAAGTCGAACAATCTGAGTAAATTTAAGTGGTCAAGGTTTCTTTACACGGTATTCATACTCTTTAATATACAATGCAATATCTGGCTCCCCTCTATTGCTTTCTGTGAATGTTTATCTTGTGTCTGTTGACTATTAGACTATTTACCCATATTTTTACATACATGCAGATTTTGGGGAATCAGATCCATCTTCACGTGACTCAGGAAGAGTATGGTGCTCGTGTTTCCAACCTGTCCATGTATGAAGCTGTAACTTCAGATATTCTTTGTCGCTGGCTCTACCCTATAACTCCTGAAATGAACTTCACTGACCAAGAGACACAGAATTACACTCACTCCCGTCACAATATTTACAGAGGGTCAGAGGTCAGCCGTGGCCATGACAGCATTCTGCACGAGAATATTTTGATCGGCAGTGGCACAACAATTGGGGCCAAGTGTAACATAACAAATGCCAGCATTGGAAGAAATTGCAGAATCGGTGAGACTTAAAAAGAGATGGTTGTATACAAAATATAATTGTGTTTACAGTCAAAACAGTTTTTTCTTTAGTTTTCGGATAGAATAGGGAAGAGCTCCTGCCTATGTTCCTGCTAGGAAGATTAACCTTCTCTATTTGGCGTAGTGACAACTATCAGTGTCCCTATACATGTAGAAATCACCAGCACTCCTGGGTTCCAAGAATGCCAGACCTTGTTTATTGACCTTCAGTCAGGTCTCACAATGTATGGCAGCACCAACTTCCAGCTTTTGGACTACTTAGCAGTTTGGATTGTGATGGGTCATGGACTTAACGTTATACATGTAGAATTTCACACATTTCATCTTTATAGTCAGTTAAAATATACGCAGGTTTTATTTAAGGGCACTTTTGTCACTTTGAGAATTTATGGACCTGTATCTTATTATTTGATACCACTAAGGAGGTAAGCAATGTTGGTTTTTAAAAAATATTTTTTATTAATAGAGACCCCTGAAGGTTGCAAACAGCAAGCATAACAAACGTTTATACAAACCCTGGTATACTTAGGCACGGAAACAAACAAATCGAAAACATAGTATTCAGGAGATTTTGTATCAACAATGCAACACGTTATCCACTGTTCAACTCTTCAGTAATCCCCAACTTTTTCAAAACTTACATGATTAAGGGGTGATAGGAAAATGCTACAGGATGTGTATGTTGAATAGAAAGTCCTCTAACCATAGGGGGTACAAAGACGAGAGAAATGGCCTTTTGAACTTGTTACTTCCTGTCCCAAACTGTCCCATAAAGTCATCTCTACATGGGTGTGGAAATTTTTATTGGCTGTTGCAATTTAAAATAGCCAATAGCAGGCTGGCTATTGCTCCCAGACACTGAATGGGGGACTTGCCACCGGCTTTCTGCTGGGGGCACAGCGGCTGACAGTCTCTCTCCTCCCCATTGGGTGCTGGCTGCATTGGTCTATGTCCCCTCTGATCCCCGCTGCCTCTGCTGATGCACGCGGGGAGAGCAGCAGGGATTGGAGGGGACACAGACAGCAGTGGGGTCCCAGCGGGGAGGAGAAATGGGGGGAGCAGAGCTGAGGAGGCTGACAAAAGCCCAGGCGCCAGGATGCAATTTATATTCGCCATGGCAGCCCGGCGCCAAAGATTTGTCGAGCCCTGATGTAGTTTAAATGAAATCTCTTTGTATAAGGCCCCATTCCCACTAAGCGATTTATTGTGCGATTTCCGCCGTGATATTGCGCATTTTTGCCGCGAGAAGTCGCCAGCCAATGCTTTTCGATGGAGCTGGCTTAGCTCCATGTCGCCGGTCGCTCATGGCTGTCGCTCCAGCAGGGCCCTTTTTTCGGCGGATTCTGCGCGATTTTTCTATTTTTAAATGGTTCTGTTTGGATTTGTTCATACAGGAGCCTTTAGCTGTACTCTAGTTATAGTATCTTCAGAGTACAAGACTATTATATAGTTATAGACATATTGGGTGTGTGCAAGGCTTTAGCCTATTTGAGTCAGCAAATGCAGTATGTATCTATAATGGTCTTTTAAAGACCCGTTTCAGGTTAGCAAGAAAAGAAAATTGTTACTTAAGACTTTCCCAGTAGCCATCTTTCTGTGTAATTGGATACTGTTAAGCATGTTTTTGTTTTCCTTATTACATTCCTACATTACTATAAATGTCCTGCCATTAGTCCCACATGTATGTGCAGTTGCATGATACTCCCTGAAAGAAAGGATCAGACAGCATGCACCAGGATGCAACACTTTGATATGATGTGTTGTTCCAAGATGGCTTTGTCAGATATGCCTAATATAGCTGCTTCCTACTTTGTTGTCTTATCTTGTCCTTGATTGCTGCTTCTGCTTATCTGGTGGTGGCCGACTATAAACATTGCAGGTTTCTGTTAGTGGATCATTGCTTTAGCTGATTTTCTACAGACAGCTTGTTAAGTGAACTCTGTTCACACACCTTACTATCTCCCTATTCTTTTGTCAGGTGATGGAGTCATTCTGGATAATGTGTACATTTGGGATGATGTTCACATTGAAGATGATGTCACAGTTAAAAAATCCATTATTTGCAATAATGTTATTGTGAAGAAAAGCGTGGAGATTAATCCACACTGTGTCCTGACTTCAAAGGTAATGGACAGAAATAATCATTGTCATAAGTAACAGTCACATGAGTAAAAGTGCATTTAGTGATTTTTATTAGGGCTGCAGCTAACTATTATTTTCATAATCGATTAGTTGGCCGATTATTAAGTTTGATTAATCGGATAAAAAAAAAAAAGGCTCCAGTGATGGACTACTAGTTTCTATTGAGATTGTAGTCCATCACAGGAGCAAGCTTGGCACGGTGGAAGTAAAAAAAAAAGTGTGGTGTGCAATATATTACATTATACAGCGGCGCAATGCAGAATACCAGCAGCTATAGAGGAATGCAGCAATAGTACATCATACTATAATGTACTATTGCTGGGATTTGTAGTCCTCTGTAGCTGGCGTTATTCTGCATTGCACTGTATATCATTTATTATCGCTGGGATTTGTAGTCCTCTATAGCTGGTGGTATTCTGCAGTGCGCTGTATATAATTTATCGCTGGGATTTGTAGTCCTCTACAGTGCGCTGTATAATGATTATACAGCGAAATGCAGTATACCACCAGCTACATAGGAATACAACAAATGCCAGCAATAGTACAACATTATACAATAATGTACTATTGCTGGGATTTGTAGTCCTCTGTAACTGCTGGTATTCTGCATTGCGCTGTATAATGATTATACTGTGCAATGCAGATTACCACTGACCAGTTATAGAGGAACTACAAATCCCAGCAATAATACATTGCACAGCGCAATGGAGAATACCACCAGCTATAGAGGAACAACAAATCCCAGCAAT